TTTTTTCCCCCCCCCCCCCCCCCCCCCCCCAATGGAGGCTGCTCGCAACGGCCTTGGTTGACAGCGTGAGCAACAAAACTTGTGTTTCGAGTGTGTGATCAGTAGAACAGCAGGTGCATGACATCAAAACATGCAAACTTAAAAACGTTTTAAACTTGTGTTTTGCCGAAATAATACACATTAGCTTGCAATTGCAACATGGATCGTGGCTTTCGTTTTCGACTGAACAAATTAAAAATAAAAGAAGAATTCAATGATAAACCCTGGAATGCTGAGGACGAACGCGCCTTTCATTTGACAGAAAATGCTAAACAAATTGACGGTCGCAAGGCGCGAAAGAAAACTGATCCAGTTTCAAAGATGGTTAGAAAAGGTAAATGTCGAAAATGGGAGAATGTTTGCAATTCGGAAGGAGTAATTGTTAACCATAATTTCGTTTTTAGAAACTGCGATGAAAACACTCCGAAGTGATAGAATACGGAAGAGCCCAGTACTGCCTCTTTCAACCCCTTCGCTACCCTTGAGTCCCGTGGTAAAAGTTCCACGCGAGAAATCGACTAACATATCCCACTCAAGTGAAACAACATGGCGAAACAATGTCAATGGCAGCAAAAATGTATCTCCATTGGAAAATCGAAATTTTCCCCTGAATGACATGACAGGAACAGCTGAAAGAGTTTTGTTCGCTTCACTCACAACTCGACATCTCCGGAGCAGACGTGAAATTGATGCGACCTCAGAAAGCAATGTTGGTCCGACCGAATACGCCAAACACAGGAATATGCCGATAGGAGCAATAATTGTAACATGCGCTTTCGTACTTTCTTATATTTGTTTGGTATTGTTGTTGATAGTTTATGGCATGCTTCCTGAACTTCGCACTCTGCCTGGGTTGAATTTAATGAGTTTAAGCTTCGCGTTTTTGTTCTGGCAGTCTTATCTTGTAGTAGTAGTTTCGCTGTATATGCGTGCAGTTGAAATGAATAATATGCTTTGTGCGTGGGAAAAAATGACAAGTTGGTTTTTGTGTATGCTATACTTATGAATTCTGCTGTTAATGTGTATCACATAGGAAAAACTTTTTGTGGCAATATTCTAGTGAAATCTGATGAAAAAAAGTGGAAAACCTTTCTGAAGTATAGTCTCTTTAGCTGGGGTGTTGCTGTCATTATAACTATTGTCCACATTGTACTAGTAAAGGTTGATGTTTTAAGGTTTTATCCAAATATTGCTGGCACTGATTGTGTAGATGTTATTCTGCCATCTGTACATGCACTTCCAATTATCCTTGTGTTGCCGTACATTATTAGAAAGTTTTACTTCAGTGCTAATCAACTTCGCCAAAAACTCAAGGCAAGTAGTAGTAGCATCGCAGAGAAATCGAATATTGTTAAGAATCGCAATAGCTTTGTCATAAATCTTAAGCTGTTCACTATTACTTCCTTCACCTATTGGTTGCCTCTCATGATCAGAGCATTCATTGATAATGTTCGCATACAGGCAGCGTTAACTGCTGTAACTTTCCTTACTGGTTTCTATATAGGTCTCGCGTTTGTCTTTACAAGAAAAATTTACAAATTGCTGAAGAAGAAATATTTTTCAGCAAAGAAGAAGCCAATTAAGAATAATACTGTGGTAGCGATGTGAGTATCATATCAGACAGGGCCGTCGCGAAGAGGCTCGGTATTGTATTTACCGACAAATTTTGGCGACATTCCGACAAATTATCCGAAATATGTGTCGACCGGGAGGGAGGGATGGCAGGTCAAATTTGATTAGACTAACAATGTAAAAATAGTCGACAAAATTCTTCATTTTGCCAATACCCCCCCCCCCCCGCCTTATAGCGACGGCCCATATATGTCCAATATAGCCATCGGTTGTCAGGTGGTGAAGATGGTGTACAGGGCCGTCCTCAGGAAATTCTTCAGGGGGGTGTACTTCAATTCAACCGACTGGTTCAAAAAAATTTTTCCGGACGTACAAAATTTTTCCGGAATATTCAAAAATTTTTCGCACATAGCAAATTTTCAACATTTTTTAACATTTTTTCAAAATTTTTACATTTTTCCTCAAAATTTTCATAAAATTCCCACCACGTTCTTGCCCTTTGCGCCAAAAATATTTAACCCAAGTAGCAGTTTTACCGACTGAATAGCAGTTCTACCGACTGAATAGCAGTCCTGCCGACTAAATACAATTACTGGGGGGATGTCACACCCCCCCACACCCCCCCGTAGCTCCGGGCCTGATGGTGTAAGATGGTGTCAGATGCTTTGTTTGTCAGACGCTTGTAGTGTGGTGTCGGACGGTGTAGGATGGTTCAGCTGAACAGTTGTTGTCAGGTGGTGAATATGGTGTAAGATGCATGGTGAAGATGGTTTAATGGGGGGGGAGTGTTAATTTTTAACCTACTTGTGCACATATAGTGTTGCCTCGTTCTTTCCGCCACGTATATATCAATAAAACCTACCAGACCAACGACAAAAGCGTTATGGCTAATTGTGCGCATATATATAGTGTTGCCTCGTTCTTTCAAAACTACGTATATATCAATAAAGCCTACCAGACCAACGACAAAAGCGTTATGGCTAATTGTTCATTATTATATAGTGTTGCCTTGTTCTTTAAAAAACACGCTTCGTATGTAGTAAACTGCAGTAGCAAACGCGTCAACGCATTACTATACAATCTTTGACAACGTCAAAAACAGTCCTTTCTTCTAAACCATTGGCTTGTGGGTTGAGGGGACTAACTGGACCGTATGCTTGAATTTACAGCTTTCTGCGAATGCTTGAAATTCTCTAAAGGAGCTGTATTGGCAGCGATGGAAGCAACGAGGGCAAAGATAAATCGCCAGCAAGCAAGCGTCAGCAAGCAAGAGTACAAAACAACAAAAAGACTGTAATAGTGGGAGACTCGATTGTCAAAGGTTTGCAGCAACACAAACTTTCGAAAGCAGCAAAGCAGAACGTGGGTGTGAAATGCTTCCCAGGAGCGACTGTTGGTGATATGAGCGATTATATAAAACCCGTGCTACGTCGAAAGCCAGATACCGTTATTCTACATGTGGGAACAAACAACGCCACTTACAAAGAAGCAAGCGAGATAGTTAATGACATCGACAAATTATGCCAAGAGGTCAAAGAAATTGATCCCAACGTTGAAATAATATTGTCTGAATTGACCAACAGAGAGGACAATGCAAAGGCCAAAACAACTGTTCAAGAGGTAAAACGTTTGTTAGCAGATTACTGTACTGCGACTAATTTAAATTTAATTATACATAACAACAATATCCTCAGTAAGTCGCTTAACAGATCCAAATTGCATCTGAATAAGTTAGGATCTTCTACTTTAGCTAAAAACTTTATTAGTTATTTACATAATTTTTAGCCTAAGTAAAGTTCCAACTCTTTACAGCAAAATTTCCGATACCGAACCAAAAGAGCCAAGTTGCTCCATTGAGAAGATTATTCCACAAACAAAGTGTGAAAATAGCATTACATTTTTACAATCTTTGAAAGGATTTAGAGTTGGGCATTTAAACATCGCTTCGTTAGTCAAGCATGTTGATGAATTAAAAATATACTTGGAAAAAGAACCACTGGATGTTTTGAGCATTAACGAAACTCTTTTGGATGAAACAATTAGTACAGATACTCTTAGTATACCCGGTTACGACATGGTTGCCAAAAATCGTAATCGGCAAGGAGGCGGTGTTGCAATTTACCATCGCAGTATTTTGAACGTAATTGATAGAGATGATTTAGTCCCAGAGGACGTCGAGGCTGTTTGCCTCGAAATTATTAAGCCTAAATCTAAACCTGTCTTAGTTGCATCTGCATATAGGCCACCGAATTCGCAAATTGAATTCCTTGATAAAATTGAAGTATTATTTCAAAACCTTGACAACGAACATGAAGAACTAATTATCGTTGGCGATTTAAATTGTGATTTTTTATCCAACAATTTAAGCAATCACACTAAACGTTTTAATGATATAGTTAATATATTCCAGCTAGCTGACACAGTTGATTGACCAGCCTACACGAATTACCGAAAAAACAGCTTCTCTTTTGGATGTCGCTCTTGTAAACAATCCTGAAAAGATTTCGCACTCAGGAGTATTGCATGTTGGAATAAGTGACCATAGCTTGATCTACGTTTGTAGGAAAATTTCGTTTGTAAAAAATGATCCCAAATTTGTTGAGTCAAGAAATTTTAAAAACTACATACAGCGTGAGTTTAACCAAGACTTATACCATGCTTTATCTAATTTAAATTGGGAGATAAATGATCCAAATATGCTTTGGGAGAACTTTCAAACAACATTCAATTATGTTGCTGACATTCATGCTCCACTTCAAAGCCGTAAAGTTAGAAACAGAAAGGCACCGTGGCTGACTGATGCAATTAAGAAAAGTATGAATCGCCGAGATTATCTCAAGAAGAAAGCTATTAAGACAAACTCAACTGCATGCCACAATGCTTACAAAAGTCTTCGCAATGAGATTAACAAAAAAATTATGTATGCAAAGCGAGATTATTACACAAACTGTGTTGACAGAAACAGAAATAATACAAAGCAAATGTGGAAACATATTAATCAGTTAGTTAATAAAAATTCTAGATCAACAAATATATCAGTACTACATAAAGACGAACAGGTTATTACTGAAAATGAAACTATAGCAGATTTGTTCAATGAATATTTTACTGATATAGGACCAAATCTGTCGAACCAGATCACGGAAACTA